CGATTGTGAAGAAGCTGCTGCGACATCTTCAGCACTAGCGAAGTTGATAAAGGCATATGGCCTGAGTCTATATTGTTAATCACGTGGAATGAAACAGGATTTGGCGTTGATGTGGAGTAAAAAATCAATAAGCTGTCGTTAATCAGTGTTGAAGGGTAACCCTGTAAGTTTAAGTTCGAACTGCTATCTTAGCGCTGTTTGTGTTGGGTCGAGATCAGTTGGTTCTACTCTGAGCAGAAATTCTAAAAAATTATGGACCAAACTCGATCGTAAAAAGCTTTAATGGAGTCAGGTTCTTCGAAGACAATAAAAGCGATCTGCCAAGGTCCACAGATGATCATGGAAAATCTGGAGATCTTTCCATATTTAGTAAAGTAATTTCTAACAACATCTGATTTGATGAATAGGGGAATATCGAATACTTTTATGGTTCAGCCTTTTTCGGCGTCCTGTCTTTATTGTTTGACCGCAAGATCGACAATAGTAAAAATAGGATTATGCTATGTTTCTTATGTCTTTGTGAGTGCAGTTTTTAGGGAGTCCATCGTGTCAAAGTAAATAAAGAATTTTCTAATTTTGGAAATGTAGGTCGAGCCTTGGTATCCATTATAGTGAATGAAAAGGGAGTTGACGAACGTGCGTTTTTCAGCAATTGAATTTCCTTTTATGTCTGAGGCGTTGTCCGTCGTGTAGAAACGCGTGGGTGCAGTAATAATATTGAAAGAAATTTCTTGCGAATCTTGATCACGTGTTTTTTCTTCGTTTTCCATTTCTTCTGACCAAGTATCTTCTTTTTGTTTACCTTTGTTTGTAATGACCTGGTTTGTGATTGGGTGAAGAATGTCGTTATTGTTGTTGTGGGAACTGGAGCTAGAAGCGTGCATAGAGTCATGAGTCGTATCTTTAGCAGGAGAAGAATACGTTTCTTTATCGTTTAAGTCTGTAGAAGTTGAGTCAATATCCATAATTTCTGGAGTAGTATGTTCAACTGATGAGTCGTTAGAAGGTAGAATAAAGTCGTTTCCAGTAATAATATTGTTAATAGTTTGTTCTAAAGGTGTTTCTATATTTTGGGAAAAATTATCGGAAGAGAGTTTAATTTTTTTTGGTTGTTCAGTCTGTTGAGTAAGTAAGGTTTGTTGGTTGGAGCTAGAAGAAGTGTTATCATTTGTATTGTTATTGTTTCTTTTATTATTCGAAATAGTTTGAGAGTTTTTATTAGCGTTTCTATTTTTCGTTTGTCTAGTTATTGGCATTTTTGTTATTTTTCGGGAAAAAAATTTAAAAATTAAAGATGTTTATTAAAGATGTTTTTTCAAAAAATTATGCATTTTAAAATTAAAGATGTTTTTCAATTTCGAATTTTTTTAAAAAAACACAAGAAAATTATTTTTCCAATAATAGAAAACAATAAGTCAAATGATTGGCTAATCTTAAATATGTTGGTAGATCGTCAATCAAAATTTAACTTCACACTTTTACAACTATATCATGACAACTGGTATGAAAGATAATAATAACAAGTCCACAATCTATGTTGGTATGAAAGACTTGCGAGCTCATTTCTCTATCTCGCTATTTATTCATTCTGTAGTTAACCTATACCTAATTCAAATAATTACGTTAATCTATAATAGGTGGACTAGATGATCAAGTTAATGAGCAAATTTTGCATGCAGCATTTATTCCCTTCGGTGACATAGTAGAAATTCAAATTCCACCGGATCCGGCATCTCGTAAGCGAACCAAGGTTACGCGCATCCTCCTAAAATATGATGGCTAATCAATTTTTTTTGGTCTAGATAATCAACATCGTGGATTTGGTTTTGTTGAATTTGAAGAAGCATGTGATGCACAAGCTGCAATAGATAACATGAATTTATCAGAACTTTATGGTAAAGTAGTAAAGGTTAATTTGGCGAGACCGATTCGAATTAAAGATGGAAGTATGAGAGCAGGTAATACTGTGTATTTAACAAAATTATCTGGGGAAAAGATTTTATTTGAAATCAAAAATTAACATTAATTTATTCGAATAGTATGGTCTGAGGATGCGTGGTTACAAAAGTACGCCCTTAAATCAGCTGATCCGAATGTACCTTATGAATCAGATGAAGGACAAGAACAAGATGAAGGTCTAGAACAAGAACAAGTAGAAGCACAAGGTACAGGAGAAGCAAGAGAATCGCGAGAATCTCTAGAATCGCAAGAAGCACAAGAAGCACAAGAAACACAAGGAACACAAGTGGAATCGAGTACAATTCAAATGGATACTTCTGAGGATTGATTATATAGATTTTTTGATGATTTATTAATTAATATAAGCGAGAGGAAGGGAATTTTTTTTTAGAAAAGGTTAATTATATAAAAATAGCAATAATAAAAAAATAACAATTATGATCAAGGGAATTAGAATCACCATTTTTTACAATAACTATCAGGTGATATTTAATTTTTGTCGTCGTTGGCATTGATTTAATATTTTCTATATTTTTCAAATTTTCTAAATTTTCTAAAATACTTTTTTGACTTTTTTCAAATGTTTTATTTATAATCCAGAATAGCTTTTCGTTTCTTCTCATCATCCACACATAAAATATCTTTTGGATTAAAATTAAGTTGATCAATTTCTTTTCTGAAATGAGGAGGACATAAAGAAACTTCATTATGAAGTGTAATACCACGATCAATTAAATCATGAAAACTAGTTAGATTACCCCAAAGATCAGTTACGGGTAATTGATTAAAATTGGTTAGATGATTATCAGGTAATTCCTCATAAATAGTATTTTCCATCATTAAAGGTACACCAAATATAGTGGAAGGATCGGGTTTATTTTTTCGAAAATGAATATGTGTACCGATTTCAGCGTGATTAGTAGAAAAACTGGTAAAGTTTTTGAAGTTTGGATATAACATAACGTAACCTCTTAAATAAACCAATTCAATAAAATATTTTTTCCAAGATTTCTTCCATTTATGAGAACGACTTCCCGGTACTAAGATTGGTTGTAAATGATATTTCGTTTCATCATCTAACCTATCGACAAGATATTCATGAAATTCTCTCCAAACTTCAGGGAAATATACGGCACCCCAACTACAAGGTATTTGAGATAGGTAAGGTGATCTGATGGGGAAACTAGTTCCATTAAATCTGGATTCGGGATTATAAGGTCGACGACCAATAATATTCAATTCCATTTGTCTTTGTCCATATAAACTGATTCCAAATAATCTTTGGCTGTGATTTTTATCGGGTCCGTAACGATATTTTAATATACTATACTTGATCCAAAGATAATAAAATGGAGACACTTCGACATCATCCTCTAATATCACGGCATAATCATGATAATTATAAGGATAATAGGATTCTACTACGGCAGGTAATAATCCTCCTTGAACCACTCTATGACGAACGGTTTTTTTACCATGATTCCATGAGAAAGTTGAACAGTACTCCAAGGTGACAGGATCAGCCCCTCTATCAATGTTTACCGTTAAAGGAATATTTTCATCACCAAAATAATAGGATGTATTTAAAGAGTGAATTAATCTTGATAATGAATCCGGTCGATTTTGTGTGATTATTTGTAATTGGATTATTGGTTCATTCCATTTCTTTAACGCTTCAAACGGTAAATCGATCATCAATCCTATTATGTGTTCGATTTCTTCTAATGGTAATTTAATTATTGAAATATCTTCATTAAATCCTTCGATCGCCGATGATATCCCTTGTATTAGGAGATTTTTCGTAGTTACTTTTGCATATATAAATAATTCCGGTTTTAGGTATTCCATCATACGTAAAACATTTTGATAGATTTGATTTTTAACATTAAAATTATTTTGTATCTCAAGATTAAGATCATACACTTCGACACGTCCGCATGATGATCCTTCTCTTAGGATGATCCTTTTTAAACTTGATCCACTTAATCCAAAATTTTCTCCCGTCGTAATGATTTTAACCGAGTTATTTTTAATTAATGATAATTTACAATAAAATGACCTAAAATAACTTTCTTGATCAGATCCGTCAATGATAAATAAAATGCTATTCTCCTTCATTTGAGAAGATTCTTTTGTAATTAAAGGATACCCACGTTCAATATAATGTAACCAAGCATTATCATTTACAAGATTTCGTCTTAATTTCTTGCATTGAATTTTCTTTGAACGCGTATCACCCCACGAATGTCGATCAAATGTAGGAATTAAAATCGAAGGTATATTAACATGATATCGAAGGGAGAAACTAATTAAAAATTCTAATGGAAGGTCAAGGATATCTCTTCTAACTTCCTTGAACATTATTGGTAACCATTTTCTTTTTAAAAACCAAATATTTGTTAACATATCGACGTCTTTTGATATACGTGCGATGTTATTCTCGGAAGATACAAGATGGTCCTCATAGCAAGTTAATGAAAGATCTTGAACCCGGTTAGGAACACCATTAAAATTGATTCCCATCGTGCCTAATATAGCATTATTATACTCCTCGGTATGAGAGATGTGCAACATATTTTGTAAGTATTGCTTTCCAAATATCGCTCCAGAATTTAATAATAAAACATATGTCGTTTGAGCTTTTTGTTGTATGATTTGTAAATATGTAAAAGGTTTTATATCGTTGTTGTTATTTATAACATGGATTTCTATGTTGTTTGCTGAACTTTTTACCTGTAAGATTTTATTTACATTTTCGGATGTAGTTAATATTAAAATCGATTCGGGTTTTATCGATTGAGATGCTATCGCCTCCAATTGTTTTCCAATATGATTATTATTGTTATCATGAATGATTATTATTGTAACTGGTGCATTGTTATATGAAGTCGAATTCCAGGTTGAATTTAAATTTAATAATTCTATATATGTGTGACCTTTCAAGACACCAGTGTCTTTGTAGTTTATATGTTCAAAAGAAGTATGCAAAGTATTCTCACTTGAAATTTGTAGTATGGTTTGTTGATTAAAGTAAAATGTGGTAAATAAAAAAAGTGAAAGTGAGATGAGGATTATGTAACGAAATAGTCTTGAAAAAGAAATTGAAAAGCAAGTTATCCTAGCACGCTTGTGATATGAAGGACGAGCTGATAAAAGTTCTTTACGATACATTGTATCTTCAAGAGTATTAAGGAAATGAAAAAAAAAAGAATGTAAAAAATAAAAAATATTTATGAATTGAAAAAATGTTTTGAAAATCGAGAAGCAATTAATTTATTATTATTTAAATACTTTTTAAATTTATTCTAACTATATTTGGTATATGATATAAATTTGTATACATTGTTGCATCATCTTTCGGTTATTATATTTTTCTATTTTTCTATTATCTTATTTATTTGTTTCCTTGTAACCTAAACAAATAACTCAAATATAATTATAATAACCATAAATGGTAATGACTGTTCTTTAAAATCTTTTTAAAGGTGGTTTTCCTTTTTTTTTGTACAATAATAATAAATTTTATTTATATTTTTAATTTGGTTCATCGCATGACGACGTAAATTGGTGGGGACATTAAATTTTTAACATTTATTTATTTATTTTTGAGTTGAATACTTTTGAGGACTTATCTCTTTTAACGTCGTCAACATTAATTCACGAGTTGAATTCGTTAATTCATCGATTTGTTCTTTGTTCTCCACATCGATGTGTGATACATCAATGGGCGATAAAACTACGAAATAAAACGATTTGTTAAAACAGAGGATTTACGTTTTTTAATTTTTTAATTTTTTTTTTTTTTTTAAAAAAAAAAAATGTACCTTTGATGTTAATTTCTCCACCACGGAATATTTTACGTTTAGAATCATAGTTATCGCTATAGTTGGCAACTACAATAGGTACAATCGGCATCTTTGCTTGTACGGCCATATGAAAAGCACCTTTTTTAAATGGTAACAAATCCGCTTCTTGTAACCTTGCTCTTGTACCTTCTGGAAATATGAATACGCTTATCTTTTGTTCTCTTATATCTTCAGCGGCTTTGGTTAATGCTTGCACTGCACTACCATGATTTTTACGATCAAGAAATACGGCTTGTCCAAGTGACACTAATTATAAAATTTGAATGGTTAAATATATCTGCATTGCAATCTCGTGATCTGTGTGGATGATTCCTTTGTGAAAAGTGATATGAACTTACTAAACATTCCAAGAAGAGGAACGAATCTCAAAGAAGCTTTGCCAACAACCACACAATGTTTAGGAAATATTCTTGCCATTACTAACACGTCAACAGCAGCTTGATGATTACATATATATACAGCCGGTCGTACATTCAGATTTTCTTCACCATGTACTTTAAAAGAAATTCCAACGGCAGGGATAGCAAAAAATCCATAAGATCTTGCTGTAATATAATTAATTAATCCCCGTTTACCGATTAAACTAAACAGGATTGCTATGAAACTACCATACGCTGAAAATATGAATAAAAATATTAAACTTATAATCCCACGCACTCCAAACTGTATTTTCTTATTAATTCGACTTCCCGTATATATTGCTCCTATAATCATTGTAATATAAAGTGGTTGTATAGGCATTACTTCAAACATCGTCTTCATTTGTTCAAATGTCTTCATTATAAAAATTATAGAAAAATATTATGTGGGTAAATTTTAAGGTACTCTGAACAATACTGATACGATTTAATAGAGAGCTATGTTTTTTTTGATTTGGAAAAAAAAAACCAGAATTAAACTACTTTTATATAAATCACTTCATAGTTTAATTATCCATTTTTGGATTAGAATGCCTCATGATTTTGTTTTTTTTTTTTTTTTTAGCCCCAAAGAAATGCAGTAAATAAGTTATATATTACTCGACACAACAAAAAAGAAATGATTTTCTTTTTCCATGTGTCATAGAATAGAATTGTATAATTCTGCTTTTGGCAAATGATCTTAAAGCAATGTCTTTTAATGTACACTCATCTTACATCATTATTTAAAAATAGTAAGAATCTGTTTCACCCGAAACTTTATCTGTTGCATGGCAAAAATAAACATAATCGTACATATTAATTACCTAATCTAATTAATTAATTTCAAAGGTACTGTTCATTAGGGTGGCCTAAAATATGCGGCGCTAAACTCAAATTATGCCTGCTTTATATAGTAAGATATGCAAATATATGCGATTTTGGTTTTTTCAAAAAATGCTTATAACTATACCGCCATCACAAAACTTGATTATTAAAATACAAAAAAATTCAAAGCAGCAATTGAATCATCATGCCTTCTATCACTAAGAATATTGTTATATGCTGAAAAACTTCGTTCCACATCTACCGCCTGGAAGTGTCCAAGAACTGTCGAGGGAGCTAGGCGAGATCTCATGTAATAAAAATTTATGCGTCATGCAACTGAGCCGTCAAGTGACTTGGATCTGAATCATGACGTTGTTGGTCTCGAATAAAATGAATCCAATATTTTATTATAATATACTTGATACAAATTGTTATGTCTTATTTATTGTGCATAATCACATATAATCATCAAATATGCCCAGTCAAATTGTTACAATTATTTTAGATAAAGTTTATAATAAATTTATACCTAAACCTATCAATCTCCGTCCTGGATTATTTGAAACATGTTTATAACTATCAGCGTTATACTGATGACTATCGGATTGAAAAAGTTGTTGAAATAGAAAAGCAATTTGATTATTTATCTATTATTAGAGTAAGCTTTCACATAAAAGATGCTCTATAAGAGTTGCTTTCTAGGAGAGAATATAGTGTTTATGTGTTCTGCCTTTTCGCCTCATTTGGGTAAGAAGTAACCAAGACATACTATGACAATATTAGTGGTGGGTTAAGAGATATTCTACATGAGTATCATAAAATATCATAAACCTAGTGTTTATAAGAGTCAGATGGCTATCTGCTTCAAATGCTATAAATTGGTAAGATTTACTGAAGTAAAGCTAAGAAAGGAATATTATAGTAGATAGGGCTAGGTTAAGTCTGAAAATTTGATAAAGTAATGATTACTCTTGCTTAAGGCTAAAACCAAAGATGAATTATGTTTATTAATTCCTTCTCCATTATCACAAAAGTCTGTTACATTAATAGGTGTTTTGAAAGACTTTCCATGCAATGTAGTTTAAATGCATCTAGCTTTATTAATGTTGATAACTACTGGGTTTCTATATGAAAAAATGCAAAAAAAAATAAACTTAATATTCTTTAAGGGTAGGATTTACCCCCTATATAACTAATATGATGTTTACATGATACAAATTTTTGTTAATCATGTGCCGACTACTTAGAAATTAATCATATGACAATTATTATGTATATTAAAATTATTATAATACAGTATTAGTATAATTATTTGGTTTTTATTAGATATTTCCAATTTTCCATACTAGCTTTTACTAATACGTCTTCAACAAGATCAAGTACAAATATACTACAAGTATAAATTTGACCTGTTAAAGATCTATTCAACATAATATCCTCTTCAATTATTTTACATAAAATCAAATCATCCAATAACAAGAAAGCATCTTCTTTAGTTTTCAGTTTCCTTGTAAATTTTTCTTGGTATACTGCTAAATGACCAAACTGACTCTTTACATCCTTTGTTTGTGACTGCCTAAATACATCTATAATATTATTTCTAGATATTTGCTATTGTGAATCCATTTTAGTAATTACATTTATAACTTCTAACATTTTTATTACATCTGATTGAACGTCTATATAAATTGAATTATCAGTTGCATGCTGAATACAATTATTACAAATATTACATCCTTAATGTAAGGAATCTTCTTGCCATGCAAAATAATTGATAATTGCCCGTTTATGACACTAGTATATGTTGAGCAATAAAATAATACTTTTCTTATTTTATTTTTAGCGTCAGATAAATATTTGATATAGGCTGAAATTTCAAGTCCTTCATCACATGAAATTGAACTATTATAGGATGTAATTAAAGAAAATCATATTAGTCATAAAATAAATAAATAAATAAATAAAGTATTTTACTTTTCTTTTCCTTTCATGTAAACCCCTATAATTGCTTTAATATCTTTTCAGCTGAATATAATAATTGCTTTTACAGGTAATCCATCACAGCCTGCACAATCACTCTTTGTACTAAATTTCCTATAGTAAATAAAATGATAAAATCAAATTTTCTAATAAGCGAATTTATAATTTACTTATCCATAGATATTGGAAATTCTATATAAATGACTACTCAAACATCTGGTTCATTTACTCCTATTATGAAAGCATTAGTTACTATAATTATTTGGATTTTTTCAGATTTCTATAGAGAAAAAGTATTAGATTTTTCTTTGGCAGGCAATTTACTGTGATAAATAACTATTTTTTTTTTTTGAACTTTAGCCTGAAAATTTATTAGTAAATTTTCACATTTTTTTATAGATATACAATAAATTATACATTTTTCAACTTCAATTTCATTAATAATTTCTAAAATATCTTCTAAAAATTGTTCTTTATTATCCTTTTTCTTTTATACTTAATAAATAATTGAATTATTTCTAAAATGTCTATCCTAAAATATAATGATTTTACCTGTAGATACATTATCCAGATATCCATATAGATATTCAGATATTCAGATAAGTAATTTATATAGTGGATATTAAATTTATCCAGATATTCATATAGATATTCAGATATCCAGATAAGTAATTTATATAGTGAATATTAAATTACAGATATACAAATACCTATGGATATCTGCAAATATCTATAATAAAATGTGATTTTTACAACTGATCTACAAAACACTGATTGATTAATGTATAAAATGCGTAATATATGCTAATATGCGATGCTAACCAAAAGAAGGTAATATCATTTCACTTTTTTTTTTTACTTTCTATTAAGAATATCTAGTGATAGGATTGTAATACTACAAGAAGACTGCGAAGAAGTCTTAAATTCTGAATTAAATGGGTTAAAAAGACCAAGGCAAAATATGTATAAAATATCAAAATGGCAAAAACAAAATTCAAATACACCTGTAATTGAATTAAATTCAGATACCAATACAAATAATCAACAAAAAACTAGCACAAATTCACAAAATTAAATAGACTTAAATAAAGTAGCTGACCAGCTAATTTTGATTTTACATGCCAAACCACTGGAACAAAGTTGGATATGGGATATTTTGATCAATATAAATCAACTTCACAATATAAAAGAATTGTGAAATGTTTGGTTCAGATTCAACGAAAAAATAGCATAGAACCATGCAGTCATTTTATGGGAAGCGATAGTTCTACTAGCAATTTTATTCTTCATTTTGCTACACATCAAATTACTAAAGAAAGTCACAAAAGAAATATGTTTGAAATGGAAAAAAAGAACCATTTATCACAACCTCATGTAGATGACATAATGCAAACAATTATTACAAATAATCTAGAAATTAAGAATCTTCGGGATCAAAAGTTTGTTGCAATTTTAATTAAAGATAATCAGCCAATTAGTATATGCAATGATGAAGGATTAGCTGAATTATTTGTGAATTTGATCCAAATTATCAAATTTCATGTAATAAGGTAATTCAACAACTATTAGCAGAATCATATAATCAAATTAAAAAAGTCCTAGTAGCAAAGCTTGAACATATTATTTCTTGTTCTATAACAACTGATTTATAGACAGTTCGAATTCGAAATGGATACATTGGTATTACATGTTCTTTTATTGATAATGATTTCAATTTTTGTGAAGCAATTTTAGCAGTTAAATATGTACCTTACCCTCATACTGGTGACCATATTTGTAATATATTACGTGAAATTATTTCTGATTAGAATTTAAATAACAAGATTTTTACAGTAACCACCGATAATGGTTCCAATATGGTTTGAGGCGGAAGACTTATGAATGAACTAATAAAACTTCCTTGTACCGCACATACTTTACAATTAGTTATGAGAAAAGGGTTACTTCCAGCTGAAGCTTTGATTACAAGGGCTAAAAGATTAATTAATTTCTTTACAATACTAAAACAGACTGAAAAGTTATTAGAAATTCAAAAAACTTGTCATACTAATAATGAGGTGATAAAATTTTAAACAATTTCATTTAAATGCACTTTATTTAATTAATTTAATATTACAGCTAATTTCATAATTCATGGACCATTAATAATTTTTCAGTCGCATTCAGTCGCAATATTTTATAGTAATTTTATTATAAAATATTTTCAGTCGCATTCAGTCGCAATTTATTAGTGGTCCACGAATTATGAAATTAGCTGTAATATATTTATTAAAGTATGATATGCTACACATTTGATACTAAATAATTAGTACTTGGTCGGGCCTCCATTTGCTTTAATCACAGCCCTAATTCTCTGCAGCATACTATCGACCAATTTTTCAATAGTTTGTATCAGAATTTGTTTCCAAGCCCTTATAACATGTCGATCGAGTTGAGCAAGATTGGAAGGCAAATTTTTTCTTTCACAGATGCTTTCTTGACTTCGGCCCATAGATTCTCAATAGGGTTGAGATCTGAACTTTGAGCGGGCCTTAGAAGTATGCGCAAACTATTTTCTGCATGAAACTTCTTTGC